AAAAAAAAAAAAAAAGAGTTTGTGGCGTAGGATATTTTAAATCCTGTATACATGGCCGGGCAAGGTGGCTCATGCCTATAATCCTAACACCTGGGAGGCCACGGTGGGTAGATTGCCTTAGCTTATGGGTTTGAGACCAGCTTGAGCTAACGTGAGACCCCTGCCTCTAAAAATAGCCGGGCATTGTGGCGGGTGCCTGTAGTCTCAGCTACTCGGGAGGCTGAGGCAAGGGAATTGCTTGAGCCTGAGAATTTGAGGTTGCTGTGAGCTATGACACCATAGCACTCTCTGAGGGTAACAAAGTGAGACTGTGTCTCAAAAAGAAAAAAAAAAATCCGGCATACAAGCAATGCTCATTATAGACATTAAAAACAAAATCTCAGTGAAACACCCAGCTTAAATCAAGGTATCTTTCCAGATACAAAATGTACTCCTAGAAAACAGCCTGAGATAATTTACACCATATAAGGTATTAGCTGACTTGCAGGGACTGTACAGCAGTAACGGGGCCACTCCTGATTTGGATAACAAATCCAGTGCTACTCATGTTTACCTGTCTATTCTCCTTATAAGCTTTCTGTCCAGAAGCATCCTGTGAGACAGAGTGATCCTGGGCAGAGGACGCAGCTTACCTTCCACTCTTTATGGCTGTGTGGTACCACTGATGTCATTCATAACCCTGAGACACCATATCCCAATCCAGAGCAGGGATCCAGCTTCCCAGGTTTATTTTGAGGGTGATGTTTATGAAAGCATTTTACAAACTATAAAGTGCGGGTTATATATAGTACTGTTGTTGTCATAGTTAGGAAACAAATGCCTTGAAATTGAAGTGATTTGCAGTCTTTCAGGGTCTCAGGCCTTCTTCTGGCCTAGAGAGTGAAGTCTTTGTATTAAATTCAAGTATTTGTTTATTTCTTTGTTTGTTTTTCTGAGACACAGTCTTACTTTATTTCCCTCAGTAGAGTTCCGTGGTGTCATAGCTCACAGCAACCTAAAACTCTCTGGCTCCATCAGTTCTCTTGTCTCAGGTTTCATTTTTAGTAGAGATAGGGTCTCCCTCTTTCTCAGTCTGGTCTCAAACTCATGAGCTCAAGCCATCCTCTTGCCTTAGCCTCCCAAGTAGCTGGGACTATAGGTGCGCGCCACAACACCTGGGTATTTTTAGAGATGAGGTCTTGCTCTTACTCAGGCTGGTATCAAACTCCTGATCTCAGGCAGTCTACCTGCCTTGGCCTCCCAGAGTGCCAGGATTACAGGCATGAGCCATGGCACTAGCCCTTCAAATACAAGTATGAAAGCCCATTCATGGCCAAGGAAATGGCTTCATGGCAATAATACGGTAGGAATAGTGACCATACATTGTCCTAGGCGGTGGCTACATTATCCCATTTAAGCCTTACAGCATCCCTCTGAGGCAGGTAAAGTTTTTGTCCTTGGTCTTAGGACCTGTGGTCCAGGGAGATAAAGGGACTAAGCCATGATCTCACATCGAGGAAAACACAGCCAAGACTTGACCCAGGTCTGTCTGCCTAACAAAGCTTTTAACCACTGTGCTCTTCTCAGAGTACATGCTTAAATCTTTAGTGCCTTGGGATCCAGTGCCTTCCCTAGTGAGACTCTTTAGCTTTCATCCCGTTTCTAATCAGGGACATCCTCGTCCAGCCCTGTTGTTCCAGCAAAAGGGGCTGACCACCAGCTGCATCCCTTTGTTCAACCAGCAAGCCATTAATCTTGTTGGAAAATGAAACATTTGCATCCCAACTTCTGCTGCCCGTTTTAATGAAGGCTTGTGTTAGAAACTGTAAGGACAGAGAGAATTTCTAAAGATATTATTAAGGGACCGGAGATGGAGATGGTGGCTTGTGCCTATAATCCTAGCACTCTGGGAAACCAAAGCAGGAGGGTCAGTTGAGGCCAGCAATTGGAGACCAGCCTGAGCAAGAACAAGACCCCATCTCTACAAAAAAAATAGCTGACCATGGTGGCATGCGCCATAGCTTCTCAGGAGGCTGAGGCAGAAGGATCGTTTGAGGCCAGGAGTTTGAGGTTGCTGTGAGCTGTGATGATACCACTGCACTGTATCCCAGGCAATAGAGCAAGACCTTGTCCCAAATAAAGACTATTAAGAAAAGGAAAACTTGTTGTTTAATTTAAGTTGAATTAAAAATTGTGATTTTCATGGGAGGTGAAGCAGTAACGCCTGTGTTTTCTTCTCTTTGTAGTACAAAGCAAATATGCACTTTCACAAGTTGTTTCTCGATGTCCCAACTGAAGAGCCACTGAGGCAAAGTAAGTTCGGATCTGTGTGATGCTTTAAGCTACATTTTTGAAAGTTGATAATTAGTTTTGAGGGGAAGCAGGCACCGTCCAGGGACGGAGTCATCAGGTGGAGCAGGCCTGTGCAGGTCGTGACGTAACAGTAACGCTAGCTACAGTCAGCTTCAGCAAGCACCTGGGAGAGGAGAGGGAGAAACAGAATCTCTCGTGTGATGCCGACTCACCCAAGACGGTTCCAGCAGGATATCCCCACCTTCTGTGTTCGTTACAGAAATGCACGTGGTTGATTTATTTTGGGTTTTAGGATAACAAGCCTGGGGCAAGAGAGGCCACTAGAAGAGGCTAAAAGGAGGCTCAGCCCCCATAGCACAGTGGTTATGGTGCCAGCCACATACACTGAGGCTGGTGGGTTCAAACCCAGCCCCAGCCAGCTAAACAACAATGACAACTACAACAAAAAATAGCCAAGTATTGTGGCAGGCACCTGTAGTCCCAGCTACTTGGGAGGCTAAAGCAAGAGAATTGCTTGAGCCCAAGAGTTTGAGGTTGCTGTGAGCTGTGACACCATGGCACTCTACCCAGGGTGATATAGTGAGACTCTGTTTCAAAAAAAAAAAAAGAAGCTAAAATGAAACTGGCATCCTTAGCCGTGGACAGATACCTGCTGATGTCACTTGGAAGGGTGTGAGGATCACTCCTAAACATCTTGCCTGGGGTGCTAGTTAGTTAGGAACCTGCTCTGAGCCTGGGCAACATGACAAGACCCCATCTCAAAAAAAAAAGCCGGGGGGGGGGAGAAGAAGAGAAAGGAAAGAAAGAGGAAAGGAAAAAGCACCTACTCTAGTCTGCACTGGTTTATCAAGGGGCCCCAAATTCCATTCTAGACTCTTAATCTGCAGTTGTTAAGACAAGATGCTGGGCTCCTGCCATGATCTCCAAACAGATGGTGAAGGTCTTATGCTCTTCCCTCAACAAGATCTATTCCAGGCTCAGCACCTGTGGCTCACGCGGCTAAGGCGCCAGCCACATACACCTAATGTGGCAGGTTCGAATCCAGCCTGGACCCGCCAAACAACAATGACGGCTGCAACCAAAAAATAGCTGGGCATTGTGGTGGGCGCCTGTGGTGCCAGCTACTTGGGAGGCTGGGTCAGGAGACTTGCTTGAGCCCTGGAGTTAGAGGTTGCTGTGAGCTGTGATGCCACAGCACTCTACCCAGGGGGACAGCTTGAGGCTCTGTCTCAAAAAAAAAATAAAAAGTAAATAAAGATCTATTCCAAAAGAGTCATTAGAACCCCTGGAAAGAGGGGGACAGGTATGCTAGTATCAGCCCACGAATGACACCCCAACCCACATAGGGCAGATTTTTTGAGACACCGTTCTTAGTCTCTCACGGGCAATAGTAGATTTGCCTTTCCATTTTGATTTCTACACTAAATTTTGTAACACTTTGAGTTGAAAAACAAACTCTTCTCCACATCCTTCTTCTAGTAAAAATGACTACAAAAAAATGTAATAGATCTTTTGAGTATATTATCTGTGCCTATCCTGAGTCACCAAAATATGAACACAGTCTGTATTTTCAGTGGAAAATTCTAAATAATACTATACCTGTGTATATTCTCCCAGGCTTTACCTGTGCTCTACAGAAGGAAATACTATACCAAGGAAAGCTCTTTGTATCAGAAAACTGGATTTGTTTCCATTCCAAGGTCTTTGGAAAAGACACAAAGGTTGGTATGATTAAAAAAAAAAAAAGCTAACTCTGCAAAAAAAAGAAAAAGAAAGAAACTAACTCTATACTTTATTGTATACATATTGTAAAGATTAACTGGTTTAAATTTAGCTGTATTTATAAATACTTGTATCGTGGTTATACCTTTATACCAAGTTTTCCTCAGCTATAATTCAAACACTGTAGGTTAGTGCCAGAGGCACTGCCTCCCCTTTTGGTGTGAGTACCACTCTCTCATTCATTGCTCATATAGACACATATGCCTGTCCTGCAACCACACCCCAAATCCTTTACCCACATGTCACCAGAGAACGAACACTCCAAGTTGTTTATATAGAGGGTGAGCCATAATTTGTCTCAAAGACATTGGTTGAAACCACAGCAATTTTTTTAAGAAACATCCATTTTTCTACAGTTACCATCAGAAATAATAAACCCAGGACAAAAAAGCAACTTAGGCTCAGTTCCTGTCGCTCAAGCGGCTAAGGTGCCAGCCACATACACCAGAGCTGGCAGGTTCGAATCCACCCCTGGCCTGCCAAACAATGACAACTGCAACCAAAAAATAGCCGGGCGTTGTGGCGGGCACCTGTAGTCCCAGCTACTTGGGAGGCTGGGG